CGTTTAGTTATTTATAGCCTAGGTGCTACGAAGAAGGGCTGGTGCCTAAAACGTCGCCTATATTATATATGGGGGTTTCCTTTTAAGGCTACATTGTTATTCACGAATGTGTTGAGTATTTTTTGTTCAGAATCAGCATCAGAATATTGATTTACACTGGAGAAATCCGATTCCCTTTTAAGTTCTTTTTCACAAACGTCCAGTAGGGACGGGTCAGAACGTTTCAACAACAAACAATAGAAAAACACGATAGGAGTGCAAAGTATTACAAAGGTAAACAAATCACTGTAAAAAAACATATAAGTAAAACTAAACTATATATTATCTTACCAGGAAAAGCCCACTGAGATATCAACTTATCTTTCAGAAGCGACCTGGCCACAAATGACAGCTCAACAAAGTGGCGCATGATGTGGAAATGTATAGAGGAAAAATATTTTAAATCTGTGGTTCTTAACCTGAGGTGCACGCACCTGGGTGTGCGAGATGCCCTTTCTGTGGGTGAGATCTTTTTGAAGGTAAACAACATTAAGCACGGGCACGTAAGTACAACTACTTGGTTTAATTAAACCTTCATAGTCAACGAGGCATTTTTGTTTCATTCTGTGTATTCGTGCGTTTTTGTCTCCGCAACGTGGCAGGTGCGTATTATGTTGAACTTCCTTCGCACCTTACGTAGCCAACCGTGCTAATCGGAGGTGTCGGGGAAGGACAACAAACTAAACACAAAAAGCAGTTCTCTAAGTGGCGCTGACGTTCCCCGCGCACATTCGATATTTCTCCTGCACGGTATCCACGCTGCAGTCTGGATTACCCCCCTCCTCGACCACCCCGAATAGCTCGACGCACGTGCTGAGCACCGCTGGCCTGCGTCCGACGGAGCTTATGGTGTGCATTGTTCACAGAGCAAGCTTCATTTGCTTCCACCGTGGACTCTACACACACGCCCATGGCTCCATTGGCGCTAGAGGGCAGCAAATACTGCCCGGGGTTATTTAGGATTTTTTTTTTGCGGTATGATTTAGGTGGTCAAAAGATGTCGACAATATTAGACATCAAAATAGTAATAAACATTACGACCTCGGATAAGGGGTGAAGATGTACAGCTCTTTGTCAATCCACTGCTGGATGAGAGCCTCCCCACGCCATTCGAATTGTGTGCGTTATTTGACCATACTTCACCACGCTGGTAAGTATAAGTTGGTGAATGGGATGCGGGCCATGAATCGGTTCATATATCACGCTCCACTTATGTTTAAGCCGTAGTCCCAAATAAAAGCTGGGGTCACCGGATTCATAACAGATGTACGCTAATGACTGCACCACCACTACAGCTCATTTTCAATTAATCATTGTCAGGGTATGATCTATCTACGGCTGGATGCGTGCCACCATTCTTCCACAAATGGAATCTAATGTAAAAAACAATAACGATCATCAAACGTAATTCCCAAAAAAGTATTTAGAAAGATGCGTTTAGAGTATTTCACTGCTATAAAGAGCCACAAGATGAACCAATTCGTTGAGCTATCGTTTATGGCCAGGTCGCTTCTGAAATAGAGCTACATAGTTCAGTGGGCATTACCTAGTAAAATAAAAAAACGTTCTTATGGAAATACGATGAAATTGAAATTTGAAATTTAAATTGAGTGTGCTATTTAGACGTTCAACGATTTTAAACCTCATACTAAAGTGAATAGAAAAAACACTCATTTGCATCGAAATAATAAGGCAGCATCAAAGTTGGAACATTTGCTGAGCTATCGAGTGTGCAGGTGGTGCAACTGAGTGACACTCATACACACAAATCACACACACACACAATAGACTGTTAGAGCAAGTGCTGTTCGCGAGTAGAGCCTATGACCGCCAGCTCGGTACACGAGGCGGTGAGTGGCCAACACCACGCCCGGCCGCTTTTATCTCCCTTGTGACGATGTTTACACACTGCACCAGGTACTAATTTGACGCCGAATCGACCTAGGGGAGGCCCAGGACCGGTTCAGATAATTATCGCGTGGCTGGGTTCGTAGCGCAGTGCGCTGACTACTACACCACCGCTCCCCATACCACACACACACACACGCACCTTTTATTAGCACAGTTGGCTATGTACGGTGCGAAAGAAGATCAACATACATACATACGAACCGCGGCAGAAGGGCCAAGGTGCCAGGCTACAAAGAGAGGGGAGTGGGGTGAGGAAATTAAACAGAAGGCCAGATTTCATTAATTGCACCAGGGCCAATGCCAACCACACTCCGCCACTGGTTGGGACCACCGGCGCATAAAGTATATTCTTCCATTTCCTGCGTATCATTAAGTACTGTTGGTGCTCGTGTAAAGTTAACGGGGTGAGTGCGGCAAACAGAAAACGTAGTCTGGCATATATAACGCGGTTGCTTCACATATATGTGTGCGTGACACGGTGTTATGATCGTTTGGCAATCACCCCTCCGGCATTTCATGCTGTTGGTCAAATATTGCTTCCAAAGTTCATGAAGAAAATTTGTTCGCGCACACACACACACCCAGGTTGTTTAAGCGCGTGTCTCCTGGCCAGGTGAGGCAACGCAAGGTTATAACCACAGGTGAGATAACGAAAGGTGATCGCCACGATGGCGAAATGTTAATTACCTCGCCTTTATAGTCTGACAATCTGTAACATTTTATTGTAATGCTCAATAATGTATTTAATGACATTGTAATTAACTTCCCTACTCAAACAGGCTTAGTCGAAGGTATTTTAACAGCTTTAGATAATGACACGGATTAAGCGGTAAGACCAATTCGTGTGTGGCTAAGCCACGTGTAAGATAAATTAAAGCATTGTTAGAACTGCAGATGAGCCCATTTGCAAACATTTAGACTTTGTGAATAAAAATCCACCTACTTAGACCTCTTCAGCCTTGGAATGCAACGTGCGTTTCACACATTAAGTGTGACGTGACGCAGGTGTGAGGACAGGCACGTGTGAGGTGAGGATGTGAAGTCAGGTAGGTGTGAGGCAATGTTTGAGATCACACAGGTGTGAGGTGAGACAGGTGTGAGGTGAGACAGGTGTGAGGTGAGACAGGTGTGAGACAGGTGTGAGGTGAGACAGGTGTGAGGTGAGACAGGTGTGAGACAGGTGTGAAGTGAGACAGGTGTGAGACAGGTGTGAAGTGAGACAGGTGTGAGACAGGTGTGAAGTGAGACAGGTGTGAGGTGAGATAGGTGTGAGACAGGTGTGAGGTGAGACAGGTGGGAGGTCACACAGGTGTGAGTAGAGACACGTGTGAAGTGAGACAGGTGTGAGGTGAGACAGGTGTGAGGTGAGACAGGTGTGAGACAGGTGTGAGGTGAGACAGGTGTGAGGTGAGACAGGTGTGAGACAGGTGTGAGTAGAGACAGGTGTGAAGTGAGACAGGTGTGAAGTGAGACAGGGTGAGGTGAGACAGGTGTGAGACAGGTGTGAGGTGAGACAGGTGTGAGGTCACACAGGTGTGAGTAGAGACAGGTGTGAGGTCACACAGGTGTGAAGTGAGACAGGTGTGAGGTGAGACAGGTGTGAGACAGGTGTGAGGTGAGACAGGTGTGAGGTGAGACAGGTGTGAGACAGATGTGAGGTGAGACAGGTGTGAGTAGAGACAGGTGTGAGACAGGTGTGAGGTGAGACAGGTGTGAGGTCACACAGGTGTGAGTAGAGACAGGTGTGAGGTCACACAGGTGTGAAGTGAGACAGGTGTGAGGTGAGACAGGTGTGAGACAGGTGTGAGGTGAGACAGGTATGAGACAGGTGTGAGACAGGTATGAGGTGAGACAGGTGTGAGGTGAGTCAGGTGTGAGGTCACACAGGTGTGAGTAGAGACAGGTGTGAGACAGGTGTGAAGTGAGGCAGGTGTGAGACAGGTGTGAAGTGAGGCAGGTGTGAGGTCACACAGGTGTGAAGTGAGACAGGTGTGAGGTGAGACAGGTGTGAGGTGAGACAGGTGTGAAGTGAGACAGGTGTGAGACAGGTGTGAAGTGAGACAGGTGTGAGGTGAGACAGGTGTGAGGTGAGACAGGTGTGAGACAGGTGTGAGGTGAGACCGGTGTGAGGTGAGACAGGTGTGAGACAGGTGTGAGGTGAGACAGGTGTGAAGTGAGACAGGTGTGAGGTCACACAGGTGTGAGTAGAGACAGGTGTGAGGTGAGACAGGTGTGAGACAGGTGTGAGGTGAGACAGGTGTGAGGTGAGACAGGTGTGAGACAGGTGTGAGGTGAGACAGGTGTGAGACAGGTGTGAGACAGGTGTGAGGTGAGACAGGTGTGAGACAGGTGTGAGGTGAGACAGGTGTGAGTAGAGACACGTGTGAAGTGAGACAGGTGTGAGGTGAGACAGGTGTGAGGTGAGACAGGTGTGAGACAGGTGTGAGGTGATAGGTGTGAGGTGAGACAGGTGTGAGGTCACACAGGTGTGAGGTGAGACAGGTGTGAGGTCACACAGGTGTGAGGTGAGACAGGTGTGAGGTCACACAGGTGTGAGGTGAGACAGGTGTGAGGTGAGACAGGTGTGAGGTGAGACAGGTGTGAGACAGGTGTGAAGTGAGACAGGTGTGAGGTGAGACAGGTGTGAGGTGAGACAGGTGTGAGGTGACAGGTGTGAAGTGAGACAGGTGTGAGGTGAGACAGGTGTGAGACAGGTGTGAAGTGAGACAGGTGTGAGACAGGTGTGAGACAGGTCTGAGCTGAGACAGGTGTGAAGTGAGACAGGTGTGAGGTGAGACAGGTGTGAGACAGGTGTGAGGTGAGACAGGTGTGAGGTGAGACAGGTGTGAGACAGGTGTGAGGTGAGACAGGTGTGAGGTGAGACAGGTGTGAGACAGGTGTGAGGTGAGACAGGTGTGAGGTGAGACAGGTGTGACATCACGCAGGTAGGTCTGCGTGCGGTGATGGTGATGATGTGGTGATGATGTCGTGGTGTTGGTGATGATGTCGTGATGATGATGTCGTGATGGTGATGATGATGTCGTGGTGGTGGTGATGATGTCGTGATGATGAGGTCGATGATGTCGTGCAGCGCAACGTGTTTTGTGTTCAAGTCGCTGGGGTGTGGCCGCGACTCGCGCGACTTTAACTCCATCAACAGAGGAAGTGAAGCTCGCACGCCGAGCGACGCATTCCGCGGGGCGCTCGTTTGCTCTCTGTTAATTACTTACACGAGCAGAAAAAAACCACGTCGCTTCGACTCGAGTGTCCTCAACAAGTGTGGGTTACGGCACGACGCGGGTGAGCTTTGTTTGTTGGTTCTTTTTGCTTGCTTTTTTGTATTTTTAAATTAAACGCAAAGGTTTTTTTAAATTTTCTTTTTAAGCTACTTGCTTTCTCCCGCAAGGCTCCAAACAATGCATTGATTGGGCTTAGCAATTAATATATTTGTCGCTTCGTAGACCGAAGTGATATCAGTTGGGCGAAGTCTCGGTGGTGTACTGAATGCACCCGTTGTGTGAATTAAAGTGTTGTTGAAGTTTATTTGTTAATTTTTTATTTTAACCCAGTTAAGGCCTAGCGGTCGTACGGGCCTACCTACTCGCCTGGTTGGCCCTACCGGTGGATTTGGTTTCGAGTGGGTAGGGCGTTCTAAGTGAGCCCGGGGCTTTGTGAGAGGCAATAGGCCACGCTGTAAAGATATCATTAAAGTTTGAACTTTACCTTTTGCTTCAAGTGGGTGTTTTTTGTAGCATAACTCGTTTTAAGACGTCCGGGATGATGTTGAATGTTTAATTTTACCGCATACTTTACACTTGTTACACCCGTGCATAACTACTGCATCAATGTATGGATATAATGTACTGCACATCGCCGTAAAGACGTTTAAACCTTATGCTCATACATTGTGAAATTATGTAATCGCGGTGTTTATATATATATTTTAAACAAAAAGTTGTTTTTCACAAGCTTGGGAGGCGACCAAGTAACGTGTACAAACCTTTGACCGAGTAACGTTGTACAATATGCAACGCGGTGCGGTCGTAGGTTTAAAAAAAATCAAAACAGTCACTCCCTGGCAAGCTCTAAGGCTGCTGCTTGCACATTGCTGTTGTTTTTTTTAATTTAAAGAAAGTCAAACAGACGCGCATACCAACGGGGATTCTGTAACGCTCTTTAACGCTATTAATTCGGTGCTTACATCGCTTTATAACAAGCACAATTAACATCACCCCCCCCTCCACCGTTGTTGACCTTCAAGGGAAATTATATACAGTAGTAGGCGACTAATCAATTGTGCCATGAAGAAGGTCCATTGCCCGACACGTCGTCTGTCATATACATTTATTTTCTCCTAAGGCTTTTATTATGTTATTGACAAATTTGTTGAGATTTTCTGGCCGCTAACATCACTGATGGGGCCAATGCTGCAATGAACGCTTTCAACCTCATCAGTTAATAATAAACATTTTTAAAACAATCTCAGCAGCAGGACCAAGCTTTTCCCACCTGATGATGGACGCTTGTGTTGCGGCCGAAACGTCGTGATTTACTTAATTTTATTTTATACCTACGTGACTTTACCGAAAGAACCACAGAGTAATAATAATATAAACATTTCGCGCATTTCATCAAGGACGTCAAAGCGCTGTGCAGAACACAGCAGCGGCAGACACTCAAAATAATAGTTTAATAAGCGTATAATAAATAGGTTTTAAGGCGCATTTTTTAAAAAATGTTCTAGCTTTTATACACGAATCTACTGTGACGTTTCGAAACGATGGAAGAAAATATGAAATGCTATTCCGACAAAACTTGCGAAGAGGTTTAAATATTTTTACTTCCTTTGTATCTGTTTTAAAATGCATATATTTTGTGTACGCAGCTGATTACAATTTAATTCAAAACAAGCTACGTGTGGTAGATTTCACCCAGTTGTAGACGAGGCGTGATTAATATAAACAAATCATACCTGTAAACCCTTATGGTTTAAAGGTGAATTGAGTTTTCAGGTCCATACGGCATACAGCCAGACGTTTCAATACGGGCAAACTTTTTTTATTCTATTTGTTTTGTGTTTCTGCCTTGTGATGGGACTTTGTAGGATGAACGTTGAGATTTATAAGGACACGGGGTGACTAATAAGGTCTAAATTGATCTGTAATAAGGTAGGGCATTGATAAGGGGGGGGGGGTGACAGATATGACAATTCCTCATTGGAAATAGACGATTGAACGCATATAAATACATTTTCAAATAAGTTGACTTAGTTTTCTCATATATATACTTCTCATTTTAATATTTTATCAAGGTACTTTATTTTAAAAAATCATTGAGATGGAACATTATTGGACACTGTATGGAGCCACATCTGCCATATTGCCACAGTTGTCGATTCCCGTGTTATTGATCGAATATTGACATCACATACAAAAAGGGATATTTCATCGCGGTTGTAATTGTCTAGATTATTAGGGGAAACATGGAGTAAAACAGTAAGGTAAGCATTGTTCATGTTCTTATATTTGCAAATGTAAAACATAGCAAAGTCATGATGTGAGCAGTGTACACTGACACTACAATTAAGTGTAGTTCTGCTGTTCACAGATCCTAATGTTGTTTATATATATTTTATTATTTTATTGTTTCCCTTCAACGTGACTTTACCGAAAGAGCTAAGAATATGAATTACTGCAGTCACGAAAGCTTTAAATAAAAATGTAAGATCCTAATGTGTTTATGTATGCATGTTGAACTTATTTCGCGCTGTATGTATCTAACCGTGCCAACAGGAGGTGTGTAAGGTGGGGTAACTCCTTTTGTCAGCAAGAAACATCTGCGGAGAAACATCTGCGGAGAAACGAGGATATCTCTTCATGTTGTGCCACTGGAGTGTGATGTGGCATCCCATCGTAATCATCACCATCATCATAACCACCGTTTTATTTAACGTGGCCACATTTCCTTTACACCTTTACAGGGCTCGCGGGTTTATATAACTTGGCTTTTTTGGGTAGCTATCACAGCTCTTAAGAGGCAGATAGATCCCTCTTTAAACTTGGCCGAACTCGTACAATCTTAATGCTTTTCTTTGCGTAGATAAAATAAACAGTGTAGCCCACGTTTTGAAAGTTAATTCAACACAACTACTGTAAGTGCAACGGGATTTTATATGATTTTTTTTTACAAACGGAACATATGCACAACTGTGTTACGATAAGTTTCATAACGCACTTTGCATTCCAATGCACAGTAGTCGTGTCAATCCCATGAATTGCCAGCAGTGCTATTACTGCTCTGCATGTCCACCGATGTGTCTCATTCCAATTAGTGAATTTAATTGGAATTGGCACTCATTTGAAAACGTGTCCACTTGTGCACTTTTGGAAGAACACTGTCTTTAGTCTCTTATTGATAATTATTGTGATCATTTCAGAGCGTGTGTCATTACGTTATTGTAATTGCGCGATGCAGTGAAATTAAATTCACTTGTTCGGAATGTTCTGTAAAAAATAATTTACAACGCTTTTGCCGATCCACTACTGGATGAACGCCTTCCCATGCCGCCTAGGTCATTACAGCTGTTAAACCATAATTTCACCATACTGGTCAGTGCTGGCTGGCGATCGAAACGTCGTGATTTATTTGATTTTATACCTACGTGACTTTACCGCAAGAACCATAGAGTATGGATTCCTGCGGTCACGAAAGCTTCAAATGTAGATTGGTAAAGGACCATATTCTTGGTTCTTTCGGTAAAGTCACGTGATTTTACCGAAAGAACCAAGAATATGAATCCCTGCAGTCACGAAAGCTTTAAATCAAAATTTGTTATAGGACCAGTTCAGAAATCACTTGCCACTGATGTTAAGCCATGGCCGGAAATCAAACTCAAGATTGGCCGTGTTGAGCATTGTGTTGCTGACCGTTGCACCAATGCGCTCCCTGTTATAAAACAGTGTCATTACTAAATATAGTGTTTTTTATTTGTACTTTTAAAAGACTGCCGATATTATTTGTATTGGATTTTGAATAAGTTTTTATAATATGTATTAATGCTTAACACTGCTGTTAAATGAGTCGCACTTCTGTCTCAGTTGGGGATTGTTTTGACGGCTAATGTTTCTACAAACTGAATTTTAACACGGTGAAAATCTTGATTTAAAGCTTTCGTGACTGCAGTAATTCATATTCTTAGCTCTTTCGGTAAAGTCACGTTGAAGGGAAACAATAAAATAATAAAATATATAAAGCAATAAAAATTCTCACGACGTTTCGACCATAACACAAACGGTCGTCATCAGGTGTGCCGGTTCGCATTAATTTATTTATGTTTAAACGGCGCATTTATTTATTTATTTATAAAAACGTCAGCGCCACGCGCAGCGATTTGGCAGTTTATTTAGAAGGACGAGTCCATCTATGTTCTGAAAAGAGGAGGGGGAGACGAAAAATTAATGTATGCTGTCTGAAAGCCACTGTAAGCGTGAACAATCAGTTAAGACCCGAAATGGTTAATCAAATCTTTCCAATGATTGCTAAGCCAGAATCCATCTTCTCGGTTGAAATTGTCTCTGTGCTTGTATATGTGGATAGCCTCATGAACGAATCTCTCATGGTAGCCAGATGGCTTACAAAGAACCTCTGTCTTAGAAAAGTCAATGTCATGTGAGCCTACTGAATTATAACAATGATCTGCCACGGCCGAGGTGTTGGTCCTACCGTGTTTAAGGTCTGCTTTGTGTTCACGAATGCGGTCCGAGACATGGCGTTTGGTTTCTCCAATGTAACTACTACCACAGAGGCAACTTAGTTTGTAGACACCAGGGTACTGTATGTCCGGAATCACATCTTTTACAGACGGAACCAGATCACGGATTTTATGTAATGTGTTGAAACGGACCCGGATCTTGTGTTTATTCAAGATTTTGTAGATCTTTTTTGTGATCCCCGCAATGTAGGGTAAAGTGATGGTTTTGAAAGGCTCCTCAAGAGGGTCCTTCATGGTTTGAGTGATAGCTTTGCGGATTGTATAGTCGGAGTAACCATTAGCCTTAAGAGCTTGGTGTACGTGCTTGAGTTCACTGCCTATGTGTTCCTGGTCGGATATGCATTGGGCTCTATGGTACAGAGTCTTGATGAGAGAATTCTTCTGTGATGGATGGTGGTGGGAATCCGGTTTCAGATAAGCATCCGTATGGGTAGCTTTCCTGTAGACAGTGGCGCATTGAACCATCAGGTCTCTTTTTAATTAGGACATCCAAAAAAGGTAGCTTGCCATCTTTTTCGACTTCCATGGTAAATCTGATGGCTGGGTGTATGGAATTGATGTGGTCGAAGAATTGGTCTAGAGGAGGCCGGCCATGTGGCCAGATGACAAAAGTGTCATCCACGTACCTCTTCCATAAGGTTGGGCGCAGAGTGGCAGTCTGGATAGCGTCAGTCTCAAATTTCTCCATGAAAATGTTAGCTATAACCGCAGATAGGGGGGAGCCCATTGGGGTGCCCTCTGTTTGTAGAAAGTTCCATTCCAAGTGAAGTATGTATTAGTTAAACAGTGTCTCACCAGGGGGCGTACCTCAGTGTTTAGTCCTTGATGAACCAAGTCTTCAATGATTGCGATGGTGTCAGGTACAGGAACCTTGGTGAATAAGGAAACTACATCAAAACTGACAAGCAGGTCGTCTGGGGACAGGGAAATACCCTTGATTGTCGATACCAGGTGAGTAGAATTTTGTACCGCAGAGGTGTTTTTTCCAGTGAAAGGACGCAGGATTTCAGACAAAAAACGAGCCAGTTTGTAGGTGGGGGAGTTGATAGTAGAGACGATGGGACGAAGGGGTGTATCTACTTTATGTATTTTTGGTAAGCCGTATAATCTTGGTGGCCTGGCAGCAGAAGGTTTCAACGAAAACTGTTTAGATTGATCATTTAATGCGGTTGAATCAGAAATTATTTTGTTGGTTTGTGTGACGAGGCTGTTGGTGGGATCTCTTTTTATTTTTGTATAACTACCATCGTCGAGTAATTCTTTAATTTTGTTGTATTCAATTTTATCCATGATGACAGTAGCATTGCCCTTGTCAGCTGAGAGGACTACAATGTCATCCCTCTTTTTTAATTTATATAATTCAAAACGCTCATCTTTGCTGAGGTTGCTAGCTGGCATCCTAGCGGGTTTTTAAATAAATAAAAAAACACGGCGTTTTCAAATAAATAAATTAATGCAGACCGACACACCTGATGACGACCGTTTGTGTTATGGTCGAAACGTCGTGAGAATTTTTATTGTTTTATATATATTTTATTATTTTATTGTTTCCCTTCAACGTGACTTTACCGAAAGAGCTAAGAATACGGTGAAAATCATCTAATTTATATTATTGCCTGCAAAAGAGGCTTCAGTTAATCTAAAAATACTAAATAATGTTGTGGGCTTGGGCAGGACACGTTGCGAGAAGTGATGATGACCGATGGTCAAGAATAATGATTGGAATGACAGCCAAGAGATGGGACGGGTCCGAGAGAGATTGAGCAATCAAATCAGCGAGTGTGCAATTGCTGAGCGGACTGTGGCATCACAGGACCATGAGGGATAGCGACAGCTTGGAGCGAGGTCTTCATCTTGTTTGTGCAAGACTTTCAATTTGTCAAGCGACACTTGTTTTTGTGCTGATTTTTCTTTGATTTTTGTGTATAGTTTGTTGTCCTTCCCCCACACCTCCAATTAGCACGACTGGCTGTGTACGGTGCGACAGAACTTCAACATACATATATTTGCGTCATTGCTGTACTCTTATTTTTTGTTTTACTTTTGTCAGTTTGTTAATCCGGATCGCTCTCCCCCTGGTCTCTTGAGTTGTCACCTGGTTAAACAAAATCAACTTGAATTTGAGACGTCACCTAGCGGTTGATCGATCGTGGTTGATAATGAGAAGTTAATTAGGTAGAGTAGCACGGTGTCTTCTGGCGACCTCATGAATAATAAATTAGCCTGTAGGAACCATATTTCAAAATGTTAGAAGCGAAATAATCCTCCACAATCATGAAATTGCTTAAATGGAAGATCCAGCCTTAATTTTACATGGTTATAGAGCTCACTTGGTCATGACATCAACAGACTTGCCAACCCTACCAATTTAAGATGCTGGGTTTTCAGTTTTAAAACCCTTGCAAAAGAAAAAAAAAGCTTTAAAAATGTATTTTCAAATTATTATGATTAACTGTAAAAATGTGTATTCTGTAAAATGGTTTAAACATCGGCAGCCTACCGCTTATATCTAGAATGTATTAGTATTAAGGCACTTGTTTACCCAGATAAGCCTCACCAAGTCTCATGACTTTTTCAGGAGGGTCCTGCCAATGTTTAGCAATAGGGGACCACCACTATTGCTATATAGATCCAAATTTAGTAATTTGACAAGTATGCTTATCACCTTATGCAGTCATAAACAGGTGGGTTAATGTGCAAGGATTAACCTGAGCAAGCAGTGGATGTATATATGGTATTAATCTTCATCTCATGCAAAGCCATCACATTAAGTGGGACTGTAAAAAAGGGAGCAATACATACCATCGAGACATACTCGGATGGATATGGAGAGGGATAAAAACAAAGATCTCCCGTATAGCCTCTCCCATACTTTAGGGGCAAGTGCTGTTAGCGAGCACCTATGAGAGAGGCACACAGAGCACAGAGAGGCACTGAGAGGAAGCTGGCAAATTAGTCACCGAGAGAGACTTAACGCCTTCATTTGACATGAGAAGAGACATACATAGAGAGCTTCCACTGCTGGATGCAGTCCTCCCCAACCATCACCATTTCTCACAATCTCACAATACAGTAATACAACCATTGCCTGCGCACGAGCCGAATTCGTCCCACTCCATCTTATCGGTGGACGCCCTCTCAGTGGTGTTCCATCCCTTGACTGTCACTTGTAATAAAGCGGTGATATAATGTAAACGAATCAATGTGTAAGAATCAGTGCTTGTACATCTTTTTAAAACCCAGCTTAGGCAGATTAATTTTCTAATGGTTGTGGTAATGCTCCACTACCAGACTCAATTAATGCATGTGCTATTAAATACTTTGATTGGTTTGCAGCATGAAATGGAGGTTAGTCAAAGTACAACGTGTCAGCCTATTTAATTGGTGTGTCGGATCGCAGGTTTGTCATGCGGCTGCTTTTAAAAAGATGACTCTGAGCCTACGCTGCCATGCCAAGTATTGAAGGTATGTCACCCACGTTATTAATGTTGGAGCAAGTGTGATGTTTTTTTCCTTTTGCGGTATTGATCGGTTTTGAATGGTCATTTATATACATTTTTTTCATGGTTCAAAACAAGGTTTAATATATGGACTTGTGTATATGGGGCCGCTGCACTGGTTAATATGAATTCATTTCGAATCACCCCATCTAGACCAAACCCATATTTCTCAGAGGCAATGAAACTGTGGGGGTGTTCTCATGGAGGGCTTCATTTTAATTAACCTTTAATTTGTTTTGGTGTAGGCCGGGGGTTGGAGGTGGGTGTTGTAGACGAGGGGAAGCATATTAAGGTGATTGTCTATAGAATATATATTTATGCTGATGCTTTGATGATGAGCAACATGCATTGTTTAGGCCTATTTGGGACTTTAATCGTGGTTTTACAGCTTTGGAATATTTTTGGCATTATCCGACATGATTAAAAAATAAGTCTAGGTTTTACCTGTTTCTGGCAATGCCAAAACATAAGCATAGGTTTTACCATTGCCAGAAAGGATAAAACCTATAATTTTTATCATCTTGGATAATGCCAAAAAATCCCATAGATGTAACTGCTCGACCCGAGCTATAAATGTTCTGTTATTTGCATTGTCTTTGCTGTTCGACTTTTGGCATTCTCTGGTCTAACACTGGTCAGACAAGGCCATGCTGTATCTGTTGTAGGCCTTTTGGTTTCAAAGACGATGCATACATTATCAGAGCATTTTTTTGGCATGTTTTGCCACAAGTATGTGTGGTTAATGCAGACTTGATGCCTAGCAAAATGTATTTATTTGGTATTTGAACATCTTAACATTACCAGAAAGGGTAAAACTTATTTTTATATTTTCATCATGTTTTACAGCTCTTTATCTTGTAGGACCAAGATACAGTATGTTAGCCTACAAGTAGCAAGGAAAATGTTCAGTCTTATCTTGATATGTCATAACCCGATGTATTCAGGCTGGCTACATCTTGCCTCCGATACATTGCAGGAATGTTGTTACTGATGTTTAAGCGGATTCTGGTAGAACACGTTTGGCTATTCAGCTACCCACTGAGAAGTTCTGCAGATTAGAAAACCTCAGTCTAATATTTTTTAATCGGTCATCATAGCAATGCATAGGGGGGGAGTGATTTTGAAGGTAATATCAGTATTTTTAGAAAATAAGGATTAATCGTGGAATAAGTCATTGGCTTGAAACGCACGAAAAAGATTTCAGAATCGCTACTCGGCAAGGATGAAAAGTTTTGGCCGGGTTCGTCTGACAATTGTGTGTTTTTTGAGCATTTTTTTCCCTTGTCGTGAAAAGTGTACAAATTATTTCTGTTTGAATTGCAATCCTAAAAAGCTTGGCATGCTATATATACACAAGTAATCAAAGAAATATAGCGATTATATTAAAGATCATCACAATCCTTAATGTGTCTGATATGTGTATTCATAATCGTGTAGCTATTTGGAATCCTTGCAAAAGAATCCAGAGAACAGGCCACAGAGATAGACATCACAGAACTGCTACTGAATTCTATTTGTGTACACATCTCTCCCCCCACACGCAAACACGAAGGGGAATACTGTGTCTCATGGCAGTCAAACTGATATATATTTCTTGTGATTGCTGGAATGTATCCAGATGGAGTGATAGAAAAAAACAAATTACATTTTACATACACTAATTGGTCACCAACCCGAGACCATCAATTCACTGCACATGAGAATGTGAGTTAATCGCACGTGGCAAGGCCAAATTGAACACAGGATCTCAACAGTGCTGTCTCAGTGATGTGACCCCCGAGCCACCCATCCGCCTCTGTGACCTCCCTTCTCCAACCACGTTCATTCGCTGCACATGCGGTGCGGTTGTTCGGAGGATTCGTGTGTACGGCGTAGTGTCTCGACGCGCACGTCCAAAATCTTGGAACCCGCCCCACCGTGACGTTGCTCAAGAGGATGTTGCTGCCGCTGTGCAGATGTGCAGGAGGCTGTGCAGTCCATCGAGCGACTGCAACAACGCCTGCGACAGAGGGCGGGCGGGAGCGGCGGCGTAGGCGTTGGTGGACGGGCCAAGGTCGACGTAGCGTCGCACGAAGCGCACCTAAGACTGCTCAAGGACACCCTGCAGAGTTCAACATTCCGGAGCATCTTTGCACTGCAGGGCTCCATAGCGCAGCTTGACAAGCAGGTCTGGATCTGCGTCTGACATTGCATCGCTATTTTAACACTCGGGAGTTGAGGAGGGGTGGGGCAGGGGACATTCTGTTGGTGATCTTGACAATGGTTTTGTAGTTGGGACAAATAGATACACTTGGTATATGTATTAATATGTGATGATGACAACAATGGAGCAGTGACGTGTCTACTGCTGCCTTTAGTTTATGCGACCGTATCTTCTATGTGGCATGGAAGCTTTGAAAACAGTGACTTGAGTTTGAGTACCGTCCACGGCTAACATCGGCGATGAGTGATTTCTTAACTGGTTCTGGGCCAACCTTCAATCCACACCGACCAGCATAGTGAAGTATAGTCAAACCACCCCCATGCCCATAACACTCTCGGAAGTCCTTTAGCCAGCAACGAACTGACAAAGGGCTGTTCATGATTATTTATCACCTTTGTAGGCTACATTTGAAGTAAAATATTTCCCAAACTGATGTGGAAAGTAAACTTACGTGTTGTCCTGTGGTGGTGAATACCTGGCTTCTGTTATGCATCCAAATGTAATATATTATGCCTTGTCCCATTTGAATATTTGGTGGTGTTTTTTTTAGTATGTTGATGACACAGTGCCAGCGCTGTTTGCGACGTTATACGTTTTACCTGTGTAATTCCCCTGCAGCTGGATTCGCTGCCGAGCAGGAGGGTATCCCAGTATGACTTCTCGCCGTCGGGCGAGCTTGTGTTTGAGGAGCACGGAACATCCGTTCCCATTGTCCAGCTCCCAGTGGCACCACTGCCCCCCACTGTGGATGATGAGGACTTCACCCTGGTGGTGAAGCATCTAGCTCAGGTGGGTTCTCATCGTCATCGTCGTTTATTATGATCTTAATAATTGTTCCTCACTGTCAACATCGTCATATTTGTCGATGTCATCGCCATTGCCATCGTCGTTGTCATCAATTGCTTTATTATCATCGTGTTTTGTTATTATGATCGTTCTTCATGGTTGTTAAGGAGTAATATTTGTCATCGTAATCGCCAAATGGTTATATTATCGTAACTTAGCAGTTGCAGTGTCATTAGCAGGAACAGCAGCAGTAGTCATCATCATCTGTCATGGCCTATCCACTGCTGGATGAAGGCCTCTTTTGCCATTGCCATCTCTCAGTACTGAAATGTAACTACATATCTATCATCGGCATGCAAACTCATTTTATTGGGCCTTCTCATTGTTCGATATCATCTCACACGGTCCCTCCTCTTGGCTGCCAGCAGCGTGCAGCATCATGTAGTGATACCTGCCAATAGCGATATTGTGATCATTATCAATAGCCAGAATCATCATTATTATCTTGTCATCAATCATTATCAAAAATATACAATGTCATTGTTCCTACTGTTCTCAAATGTGCGTGTACCCATGTGTATATTTGCAACAAACTAACAATGCTATTCAAAATTTCAATTCGTTTTAAAACTATAAACTAAGCCGGGGGAAAAAAAAACTACTAATTTTATAATCTATCAAACACATTGGGATACAAATAATTTACAGTTATGTCCCAATGATTCCAAGGTAAAGTACCGCAACTATTTTGTGTGCCGGATAAAGCCTACAGAGTTTTTTCAGAAGCGACCTGGCCACAAACGATGTTGTTTATCACGTGGGAATGTATAGCAAAATAATGTAAACACGTGTTTCCAAATGTGAAGGAAAAAAACAGAGATTAAGCTGTCGCTTGCCAGCATTGTGGTCCAAATTTGCCACCTGTGAAAGTTACCTGCACATTGCTTAATTGGGATTACACACAGCACCATCGCCCCCAACTGTAAAACTTCTGCAGACTATGTGAAAGGTAGCCCCTTCACGATAGCCTGTACTATGAGAATGACGCTAATACCAATTGTACCAAGATATTATTATTGTTAAACGCTACGCTAATTGCGTTGCTGTGTTGTCAACGGGGCAGGGCCGGCTTGTGCACTTTGTGGACCTCGACAAGCCCGAGGGCGTCGGCCTGGGCTTCAGTGTCATGGGCGTGAGGAGCAAGAATGGACACAACGGCATCTTCATCAAGGCCATCCACGCGGATAGCATCGTTGGCAGGTGGGCGTGTGACGATTCGCCTCTTTCCCCCCACCCCCCCCCTTGCCCCCTCGCAATTCGATGAGTTATCACAACTCTGGGCGCAGGCAGGTCCCACCGCCACCACCACCCCCATATGTCCCCTTGCAGTTCGATGAGTTATTGCAACTCCGAGCACAAGCAGGTCCTCTCAACAATATGACTGTCTTTTTTTCTCCGATGTGGTGAATGTAGAGCCTCTTTCCTGGCTTACAGGGCTCGTGACCTAATTACATAAGGCGTGTATGAATATGTTCCAAGGGGAGCTCGAATAATGCACCTCTAGAATTATGGGGCATTTAACCTTATTGCTCGAGCATTATCGAGTCAAACTAAGGCACTTTTTAGGGTTCTTAGGGGTCATAGATGTTACCTTTGACCCATAGAATCAAACTAAGGTAGCTGTTTTGATTATTAGGATTAGATGGTTATTGCCCCAATACTCGCGGTCAGAATAAGCCCGCTTTAAGATTCTTAGGCATCATTGTTTTGACTCGAGGCGCTCAGGCAAAGGCATATTTAAGATTCTTAGGGTTCAATGCTGTTGGTCGAATTTCAAAAAAGTCATTATCAGGAGTGATGTAGCCACAGGTCACAATCTCGTAGAGTAGTGTATCCCCATGGAAATATCTTAAAGATACTCAATGGTCACATTAAGGAATATTATAGTGGTGACACATCAGTGATAAATTCAAAAACATACTGGGCATCTGTGAATAAGAGCTTTATAGCTCATCAGATTCCTCCAGTACAAATAAATATTCTGATCAAATACAGTTTTTTAGGACCCTGCTACGTTGCGTTCGAATGAGCCCAATACCCCGACTTGAGAAAGCGAATGCTGTTGAAATCCTTTTACTAAAACTATCCATCATAGTGTTTTTTTTTTAGTTGGATCGCGTAAATATAAATTTGGCATTAAACCCACTACCACCCGACACAGCCAATTAATAAGGTTTGTCACATAATCAAAACATGTCAATTCGTTTGTAGTACAGCACACCGGTGTGTTGGAGAGTAAACCCACAACATTTACAATTGAATACAAATTTTTTATTTTTTATTTTACCAGGTAAGCCCCACTGAGATATAAAGCTGTTTATCAAAAGCAACCTGACCACAAATGATAGCCCAACGAGAAGTGGCTTATCATGTGGTAATTTATAGCAGTAGCCAAATACTCTAAATTGCATGTTTCTTAATGTGGAGAGAGAAACCCGAGGACCTGGAGAAAGATCCACGCGGCCACGGGGAGAACATGCAAACTCAAAAATATACAGCAGGCATCAGGGTCAGGACGGAACCCACGACCTCCTGTATGCCAGGCGAGGTATTTAACATTTCGCCGCCACGGCACCCCCAGGGATGGCCGTCTTCAAGAGGGAGACCAGATCCTGGCCATCAATGGCATGCCTCTGGACGAGCGCGTCTCACAGGAGCAGGCGGTGCGGCTGCTGCAGACGACCACGGGGCCCGTGCAGCTTGTGGTCGCCCGCTTCTCCCACGACACTGAGACGCCTCCAACAGAGGTGGGGGGGGGTGGGGAGGGGTTGGGAGGGGAGGGGTGGGAAGGGGCGGGAGGGGCTTAGCCCTCCCTTCCTTTTCGATCTCTCTCCGTTTTTTTGTTGTAAAGATTTCAAACTCGGGTCGGAAGCATTTGTGCCTCGGCTCTGTCCGTACATCGATCCGTCCGCAACGCATTTCTCTTGTAAAGATGGTGCAATATGGGCGAAACTTTTCGTCCGGTGTTGTGTTTCTCTTCATGGACCTTGTCAATTTGGAACTGGCCACATTAATCAAAGGGTTATTGCCCAAAATGTCTATGGACAAACCGGAGCGTAAGGGGCCGTTTGCGGATATAAAGACACGTTTTTCCCTGCCACCTCCCCAACGGCTTCCGTACTGCTCATTAAATACCTCCATCGATAAACGCACGTTGAATGGCCGTTAAATAATCCATGCGTACGCTGATTTTTTTTCCTCATTCATGTTCTATTTTAAAACTCATCACGGATTCATAATACAACAAAAAATGTTGGTGATGCTGCATTGACAGTGGTTCACATTTCACAACAAAACTCGACACATTCATCAATAACACTGGGACAATATATAATAGGCGACATTTCGGGAAATGGCTCTTCTTTATAGCACATGAAGCATGTTATGTTACCTATTATATATATTTTTTTCTTTTAAGGCAGTGTTATTAATGAATGCTTTGAGTTAAATTATTTTTACATATGTGCGTGTGATTTTTTTTATACGATGGTTATGTGGTTTTCTGCCACACGGGTGGATAATCATCACCATTTTATATTTTTTGCCACGCTTCACACCGCAATCTCAAATATACAAAAGGGTTGAGCGCGCGAACCAAACCTACACAGATCTAGAAACGCAACAACCAAATTACAAAGAAATGTATAAATGTAATGCAATGAACATTCAGTAACTCTCCGTTTCATCATGCCATACACACGAGTCGGTGTTCTTAGGTGAATTTGAAAAAAAAAAGTCGAAATCTGTTCTTGAATTGATCCAAGATCGTTGCTGCAGTGATACGGTCAGGGAGACCGTTGCAATAAAATATAAAAATTATGATTAGTTGTATGCAGCATCGTTTATACAAATTGTATCTCACAATCGTTGAGCAACCACAGACAAGCTGGAAGACAGGCAGGCAGTGAGCTGGCGCTAACAATTGCCCAAGCTCTGCAGTCCTCTATTTGTGAAGATGTCTTAGCCAATTAACGAGTTTTTATGCACGTGGGAGGAAACCGGAGCACACGGAGAAAACTCACGCATGTGACGGGGAAACACTATCCCAAACAGGAGGGGACAGATGATATTAGCCTCGCACTTTGCTTTACCACATTCTGGCACACCAGGGTATGACACCTCAGTGCCTATGAGATCCAACAACCCTTGCCTCCACAGTGTTGGATTACAGGCCTGGCCATGCCGCCTGGCTGATGAGACATGGGTACAATAGACGCTGCCGGATTCAGCCAAAACTCCAATTAATTGCCTCTGTTTCTGCTGCTACTGTAGGGACTGGAGCAGACTGAATCCATTGAGTTGGTGACTACGGGCAGTGGAATGGGCTTTGGAATCGTGGGCAACCGAGCCACAGGGATCATCGTCAAGACAATCCTGCCCGGAGGAGTCGCTGACAGGGTCAGCTGCTGTGCTGCTTGTGTGATTAGAATCTCCATTTATCCTTCTTCATCACCATCACCTGGTTTCCCCAGGCCCTCCCCTTTGCTTTTCTCCTGTTCCTCATTTTCAGTTAACAATTATTTCATTCTTTTCTTGTGCCTTTTTTTGTCGAAGTGTTTGTGGTAATAAAAATAAGTAGCTATTGTGATTGTCCCCAGCCACTCTTGTTCATACACTTTGATATCCACGAATGCGGAAGATGCTTAAAATTTCACGGCAGGATAGGGTAAATTACATGGGAGTTCAGGATAAAATGTGGCAAGGAGAGAGGAGGTGGTGATGGGTGGATCACAAGTCCAGCATTGGGGTCATGGAGCCTAGAGGTTACAGTTGAGCAACAAGGGAAAGAGCTGAACCCACATGGTGGGATAGCAGACCTCAGATGTTGTCCATCGACTGTGATAGAGCAGAAAAAAGGACATGGTAGCATAGCCTGATGGCATTTAGTAGCATGGTGAAGTCATAATCTATGCTGAAAGTGCACTGAATAAATGTTCCCTTAAAATATTTTCTTGTTTTTGAACCATTAGAGAGAGACAGCGCTCGATATAAGAATGAAAGTTTGGCTGGATGGCTGGAAGGCACCAATGGACGGTCACGTCCAAAGAACGTATGGTTTGCGAGTATTCACTTAAAATAGTTTTTTCGAAGAAATCCAGAATATAAAACGTTTAGATAATGAGGTGTATTAATAGTCATGCGAAAATGGTGTGGGGGTGTGATTCGTTATGTGATTGATTGTTATTAATAACCTCTTGTGCTTCTTGACTCCCATAGCGTATAAAGCCCAACATTTTTTTTAATTCTTATTTGTTGTGGTTCTTTATTGGTCCCAAAAACTCTTGACGAAATCAGGATGGGCGCTTGTGCACGGGCGATCGGATCCTTAGCATCGGCGACATGGACGTGCGGGGCAAGGGGAGCGAGGAGGTAACCGTTGACACTGGATTTGATTTTATATTTAACTTTGCACATTTTGCACGAGTCACGGCTTTTTAAACCAAGCAGCCGTCAGCTGCAGTCTCGCATGAATGACGAGCCGTAGTGAACGCCATTTACAATACTAATTTGCACTGGTTCACAGCCGCTTTGTCATTCCACTGCTGGATGAAGGCCTTCCCTTTACACCGTGTCAGTCATGGGATTTGTGTGACGGTACTTTGATCATGCCAGCCAGTGCTGGTTGCCCTGCAGAGTTGTGATTTTTTTGTTTTTTTACACAAGGTAAGGCCCACTGAAGCTAATTAACTTATTTTTCAGAAACGACCTGGTAACAAATGATAGCTCAAAGAAGTGGCTTATGTGGAAATTTATAGCAGTCAAATACTCGAAATGCACGATTTTAAATGTGGAGAGAAAATTCGGAGTACCCGGAGGAAAACACACGACCGTGGCGAGAACATGCTAACTCCAAATATACAGGCATTGTCAGGATTGAGATCGAACCCCTGACCTGTATACCAAGCGAGGTAATTAACATCTCGCCACCGTGGCGACCACTTGGCAAATTACTGGAGGAAATGTAATTGTTTACCAATTATTGTGTAACCTGTACATTTTGTCATTTAGATAGAAGTTGTCAATTATTTTCAGGTGTGTGCTTTCGTAAGAAATTATGTATGTGTAGTGACATCGCTGGATGTCACCATGCTGTTGGTGCAGTACCGGCCCTAGAGGGGCACTGCGTGCGATGTCGCGATATCGCCGGATACCACAATGGTGTGGGTGTAGCAGTTACGTTGTAACTAGTGTAGTTAGCCGGGTGGTCACCACCCGGCTAGCTACACCAGTCACGTGGTAATTAGTGTAGTTAGCCGGGTGGTCACCACCTTAGGTTGTTGTTCTGTTAAGGGGGAAGATACCCCGAGTGTTGGAACTGAATAAATGTGTTGCCTCCAAGTCTACGTCTGCGACTCAGTTGAACCCACTGCATATGTAATTAAAATTACAAATATGACTTGCATTTAATTTAGATATTGCCCTTCTCTGTCAAGGTTGGTGAAGGTGACCCAGGATCGGTTCTCAGATCACTCACCACTGATGTTAGCCATGGCCAGGAATTTAACGCAGATTGATGTGTTCATTGTGCGGTGCGCTAACCAATCGCATGCGCTCGTGCACAAGAGAGTTCCCAATGTATTTGGCTGCTATAAATAGTATTTTTTTTGTATTTGGCTTCTATACATTTCTACATGATAAGCCACTTTGTTTGAGCTATTATTTGTGGCCAGGGCACTTCTGGAAAAGAGCTATATAGGTCAGTGGGCCTCATCTGCTAATTAAAATGCAAATATAGTTTAAGTTTAGTTGAATCCACAGCCCACGCAAATCCGCCCACGGATAATTGAGCTTCATCTGTAAATGCTGCTGCTTCTTGCAGGTGATCTCTATCCTGCGCCAGTGTGGTTCGCGCGTCCACCTCCTGGTTGCTCACGGAGAGCCTGGCGAGCAGCTCCCTGCCACCCCATCGCCGGCACTCGCTCAGACTCCTCCGTACCTCCCGCCGGTCGACCGCGTCCCTTCGGAGGCTTCGCATTGCTTGGAGGCGGATCGTGCCGGCGCGTCCGAGCCCTGGACAGGCGAGAGCAGTGTGAGTTGCGCGTGCGCGCAAGTGTGACGGTGGCGGTATCGCACACTTTTAGACGCGCTTCTGCTTTGTCGTTTGGAACTCTTCCTCATGATATGAGGGGAAGCCACTGGAGCTGCGCACTTTTAAATTGTCTGTATTGAAAACTCAGATTTTGAATGCCGCTTTTTGCGTTTGGTTTGTTGTACCTCCGATAAGCACAGTTGGCTACGTATGGTGCGAAAGAAGTTCAATATGCACATACGTACAGTGAGGGAAAAAAGTATTTGATCCCCTGCTGATTTTGTACGTTTGCCCACTGACAAAGAAATGATCAGTCTATAATTTTTAATGGTAGGTTTATTTGAACAGTGAGAGACAGAATAACAACAAAAAAAATGCAGAAAAACGCATGTCAAAAATGTTATGAATTGATTTGCATTTTAATGAGGGAAATAAGTATTTGACCCCCTCTCAATCAGAAAGATTTCTGGCTCCCAGGTGTCTTTTATACAGGTAACGAGCTGAGATTAGGAGCACACTCTTAAAGGGAGTGGTCCTAATCTCGGCTTGTTACCTGTATAAAAGACACCTGTCCACAGAAGCAATCAATCAATCAGATTCCAAACTCTCCACAATGGCCAAGACCAAAGAGCTCTCCAAGGATGTCAGGGACAAGATTGTTGACCTACACAAGGCTGGAATGGGCTACAAGACCATTGCCAAGCAGCTTGGTAAGAAGGTGACAACAGTTGGTGCGATTATTCGCAAATGGAAGAAACACAAAATAACTGTCAATCTCCCTCGGCTTGGGGCTCCATGCAAGATCTCACCTCGTGGAGTTGCAATGATCATGAGAACGGCGAGGAATCAGCCCAGAACTACACGGGAGGATCTTGTCAATGATCTCAAGGCAGCTGGGATCATAGTCACCAAGAAAACAATTGGTAACACACTACACCGTGAAGGACTGAAATCCTGCTGCGCCCACAAGGTCCCCCTGCTCAAGAAAGCACATATACATGCCCGTCTGAAGTTTGCCAATGAACATCTGAATGATTCAGAGGACAACTGGGTGAAAGTGTTGTGGCCAGATGAGACCAAAATGGAGCTCTTTGGCATCAACTCAACTCGCCGTGTTTGGAGGAGGAAGAATGCTGCCTATGACCCCAAGAACACCATCCCCACCGTCCAACATGGAGGTGGAAACATTATGCTTTGGGGGTGTTTTTTCTGCTAAGGGGACAGGACAACGTCACCGCATCAAAGGGACGATGGACGGGGCCATGTATCGTCAAATCTTGGGTGAGAACCTCCTTCCCTCAGCCAGGGCATTGAAATGGGTCGTGGATGGGTATTCCAGCATGAGTGGCCTAACATTTTAGACATGCGTTTTTCTGGATTTTTTGTTGTTATTCTGTCTCTCACTGTTCAAATAAACCTACCATTAAAATTATAGACTGATAATTTCTTTGTCAGTGGGCAAACGTACAAAATCAGCAGGGGATCCAATACTTTTTTCTCTCACTGTACATATGTACGTTACATTTACGGACACCTTTGTAAATCCACTGTTGAATGATGGCCCCCTCCCTCCCTCCTCCTTGGAGAGCTGTTTTGACTGCCACAATTGTCATTGTGGGTTGGTGAAGTGATTGGACCCCAGGGCCAGTACACATTTTGCTTGTCACTAATGTTTACATATGTTGCGTGAAGTTTTATTTTTTTGTAATGTCTCAAAAACCTGCTTCCTACCCATTACGCATGGTATGCATATGCATCTGGCAGCATGTATAATCCTGTTGGGTAATAATGAAAAGCAACATACCCAGAAAAGTTTTTCCATCATTTTATATTATCTGCTATGACAAACGGATCAGATACGCGGACATCGACAGAGCAAATGCAACCGTAGCGGACATGTGCGCAAAGGAGCGTGGAGAGATTGTACGCTTGAAATTACACTCGTGGGAAAGAAAGATGAATATGTGGAGGAGAACACGTCTGCTGGTCAGAGTAGAGGCCTTGGGGCAGGATGTGTCACGAGAAAGTGTGATAGGCGCTCAAGGATAATGATAGAGTGGCACCCAAAAGCGGAAACGTTTCCGAGAGAGCACCCATTGCTAAGATAGAACGATGAAATCCACCTTTTGTACGGAAGATAGATGCCTCCATAATAAACGTTTTTTGGATCAGATCGCGTTCATATAAATGTGTCGTTAACCCTGCCACCACCCAGACACAGCCACTTAGTAAGGTTTGTCACGTGAACAAAACGTGTCAATTAGTTGCTACTTCAGCACGCCGGTGTGCTGGAGGGTAAACTCGCATTTCGCTGGCGATTACAACCAGCTTCATCGGGCGAATTTTGCCAGAATTGTGAAGAAATCTTCCTGTTTCCGGTCTTGAATAGAGTAAGGTGATGTCATCACTGTGAGCCTATCAGGTGCAAAAGCCTACATGTTAAATAGATGCCTAGTTGGATCCTGGGAGCACGGGAGATGACGACATCTTTGGGATCATAGTTGCTGATTAACGATGATCGTGAGGACAGTGATGACGATGATCGCTTCTGCCCGCAGGTGGACGAGGAGGGAGTTGATGACGACGTGGAGGTTTACGATGTGGAGCTCACGAAGGGTGGCCATGGCCTGGGGATCAATCTCACCAGCACAGGCGACAACAGTGGGTGGTGCATGCCCAGCAACACCACCACCACCACCATCGCCACCACCCTTAAGTTAACGTGCTGCCAGTCCTGATGGTGCATTACGTGGAGTTTCTTATGCGTTGTATGCTGGTTTATTTTCTCCCTCTTAAAATCTTAACTTTGCATCATGGGTTCTTTAATGACAATAAAACACATAAAAAAAAACACAATCTCCCAGTCCAAATAGAGCAAATGAAACCCTCCGCTGGGTAGAGCAAGGGCAGTCCGGGGTTAAATTAATGAACTTCAATGATTCTGAACACTATTTGTGCTGCCGCCAGTGAACAAAAAATACCGTGCGAGGCACTGGCATGCCATGACTTCCCTCTCTGGCGGTAGTGGTGGCTTGTTTAAAAATAGTTTTTGGTCAAGTTTAGCTTCCTTAATGTGGTTGCAAACGCTTCCATGTTTTAACCGTTGTCAGATAACCAAAAAAACATTACAGCCAAGGTTGCAGCTGTTGTTAGTGTGTCGCTGTGCCTCAAACGTGGGTACATCATTATTTATATATTCAAAATGTAGCTAAATTAAGTACGCCGTTTGTGGCCGCTGTTATTTTCCGCAGGGATTGTCGTGAGAAGCATGGTACCCGGCAGCCTTGCCGAAAGAGACGGGCGGATCGGCGTGGATGATCAAATCGTGGCGGTGAGTGTCGACAACCCCATATCGGTTTCCACTGGGGCATCGCAGCAGGCAAAAACCAAAGCCAAGTGAAGAAAATGTAACACGTATGTAGGCTTTTGCGATCAATATTTAAATAATTGATTTTCAGCTCGGATCGATTGAGTAAAATGCCAATTTGTGTGTCGTACGCTCTGTCTACACGATTTTACTGAAAGAACCAAGAATATGAATTCCTGCAGTCACGAAAGTTTTAAGTCAAAGTTGTTCGTATATTTTTGTATTATAATAGCCATTTAAATATTCTTAAGTACGTTTTTTGGGTGAAAAAGGGTAACTTTCAAAGCTACTGGAACTAATTAAGCCTTTAACTTGCATTTCCTATACTCACTTAACGACCAAATCACTTGACGACCGGTTTCTTGGAACCAATTACCGTCGTTAAGAGGGGTTCTACTGTACTTAAAATATTTCGTATCTTGTCATGGAAGTGATATACACCATAGCAGGTCACCGCATGGGACATGATGCATTAGGGGTTAAAGTGGTGAGATTTTGCTTGCGGAAGTATGTTTTTAATTGTAACTTATTTCGGCAGTAATTATATTGATTTATAAAGGAAAGGCGGTGTTTTATATATTTCTGCTCCTCATTTTTTAATCAGCGGGCACTCGGCATTGATTCATCACACCCCCAGAAATTGCAATGAATTGCCACAATTTTGGTTTGAATCCGTGCATCGCTTCTCTCTTTGGACCAATTTGTGTCATCTCGTTGGTATTATATTGCATTCTGTCTCGCCTGTAGATTTTTAGGCTACACTTTATGTTCGGTTCTCATGGCCATAACATTCTCACGAATCGTAGGTAGTAAAAATATCGCACGCAAGAAATCTGGCAATGTGTCCTGAGAGGTAATTTGTGAATCTGCATCGTTGCATTCCCATAATCGCCTGCCGCTCACTACTTTCGATTAGTTTCGTGATTGTCTTACATTTCTGTTTTTACACTTGTGCCTTCTGTAACGGGAACTTCGTTCTTCTCTAAAACGTATTATTCTTGAGTGCACATATGACGTGTTAGACCGCTTAACTTCTTGTTTCAGATATTTACTTTCTCCTTGTTTAGTCTTCTCTAAAAGTTTGTTCCCTGTGCGCCATCGGCGTCAGCTCGTGAGACGAAGCGCTTGCAAAACCGTGCCGCCCTGCGTGGTAGAGAACGGCCCACAGAATGAGATATGGCAGAACTTGTCTTGATTGCCTTTTCTGTTACTTTTTTTTAAAATACACAATCGAGAGCATTCTTTCCTCTCTGCACAGTCTGCTAAATATGAATGGTCGTCGTGTAGAAGTTTAACCGATATTTCTCATATTCAGAGCTGGAAATGATGGGCCAAATGGAGTGCAAAATCGATTTGAATGTGATGGTTTTATTTTGCAGTTAAAGGAAAACGTTTATTACGGGTAATGTTTTGGGCAATTGCCCTTAATTAGAATTGGCACTGTCCACAACACACGACGCTATTGCTCAGCAATGATGCGGCCCGTGCAGCATTTAACGGACTTAATTTGCATTTGGAACGGAGGTCACCGGTAAATGTGTAAAAATACAGGGCTGTCTGTGTAAGGGGCCGCGAGGACTGGAGTGTGAGAAACCTTACCCCTGTGCGCTGGCGCTCGGCACGTGCTGTGCGTGCGCACGTGCGCGCGATATTCGCCGCTGTGCTCCGCACGGCCAGATGGGTTTAGCCTGCGGAGTATAACACTGAATGTGAAGCTGCCCCAGAGACAGTCCACGCGGAGCAGGGCATATGGTGTTTACTCTTTGCACTGGCTTGTGTGTGTGTGTGTATGGCTGATCTGCCTTGTTTATTGCACTGTGCATTGAGACAAGGTTTGCACTGCCATGACCCTCTGCTCAATGTGAGGGTTTTCGCGGCAGCTTGCGTTTGAGATCTGTTTGGATTGATGCGAGGGGAGAAGTGCGTGGTGTGTTGAGGCGCCCCCCTGGCGACTCGGTGAAGTGTTGCGATGCAGTATAAGAATGGATTTTTTGTTGTCTTGTTTGTAGTGTCTCATTTGAATTGTCCGTCTCATAGGCTTCGTCTTGTTTGCTTTGTCACGTTCTTCTCGAAATAGCCACTCACGTCGTTGTGGAGAATATTCAGTGGTGAGATAATACTGAGTGTCGAACCTGGCCCAAAATGTATGAGTGTTGAACCAATGCTGCTGAACTAATGCACTCCCAGAAGGGTGTGTGTGTCTGATGAGATCTGTAAGAAATACTTTAATTGTTTATGGAGGGACACATATGTAGAGTCGGGAGAATGGACGTGGGCCCTTAGAAATACAGTGAGGGAAACAAGTATATGATCCCCTGCTGATTTTGTACGTTTGCCCACTGACAAAGAAATGATCAGTCTATAATTTTAATGGTAGGTTTATTTGAACAGTAAGAGACAGAATAACAACAACAAAATCCAGAAAAACGCATGTCAAAATGTTATAAATTGATTTGCATTTTAATTAGGAAAATAAGTATTTAACCCCTCTGCAAGACATGACTTAGTACTTGGTGGCAAAACCCTTGTTGGCAATCACAGAGGTCAGACGTTTCTTGTAGTTGGCCACCAGGTTTGCACACATCTCAGGAGGGATTTTGTCCCACTCCTCTTTGCAGATCTTCTACAAGTTATTAAGGTTTCGAGGCTGACGTTTGGCAACTCGAACCTTCAGCTCCCTCCACAGATTTTCTATGGGATTAAGGTCTGGAGACTGGCTAGGCCACTCCAGGACCTTAATGTGCTTATTCTTGAGCCACTCCTTTGTTGCCTTGGCTGTGTGTTTTGGGTCATTGTCATGCAGGAATACCCATCCACGACCCATTTTCAATGCCCTGGCTGAGGGAAGGAGGTTCTCACCCAAGATTTGACGGTACATGGCCCCGTCCATCGTCCCTTTGATGCGGTGAAGTTGTCCTGTCCCCTTAGCAGAAAAACACCCCCAAAGCATAATGTTTCCACCTCCATGTTTGACGATGGGGATGGCGTTCTTGGGGTCATAGGCAGCATTCTTCTTCCTCCAAACACGGCGAGTCCACAACACTTTCACCCAGTTGTCCTCTGAATCATTCAGATGTTCATTGGCAAACTTCAGACGGGCATGTATATGTGCTTTCTTGAGCAGGGGGACCTTGCGGGCACTGCAGGATTTCAGTCTTTCACGGTGTAGTGTATTATCAATTGTTTTCTTGGTGACTATGGTCCCAGCTGCCTTGAGATCATTGACAATATCCTCCCGTGTAGTTCTGGGATGATTCCTCACCGTTCTCATGATCATTGCAACTCCACGAGGTGAGACCTTGCATGGAGCCCCAAGCCGAGGGAGATTGACAGTTCTTTTGTGTTTCGTCCATTTGCGAATAATCCTATCAACTGTTGTCACCTTCTCACCAAGCTGCTTGGCAATGGTTTTGTAGCCCATTCCAGCCTTGTGTAGGTCTACAATCTTGTCCCTGACATCCTTGGAGATCTCTTTGGTCTTGGCCGTGGTGGAGAGTTTGGAATCTGATTGATTGCTTCTGTGGACAGGTGTCTTTTATATAGGTAACAAGCTGAGATTCGGAGCACTCCCTTTAAGAGTGTGCTCCTAATCTCAGCTCGTTACCTGTTTAAAAGACACCTGGGAGCCAGAAATCTTTCTGATTGAGAGGGGGTCAAATACTTATTTCCTTCATTAAAATGCAAATCAATTTATAACATTTTTGACATGCGTTTTTCTGGATTTTATTGTTGTTATTCTGTCTCTCACTGTTCAAATAAACCTACCATTACAAATATAGGCTGATCATTTCTTTGTCAGTGGGCAAACGAACAAAATCAGTAGGGGATCAAATACTTAGTTCCCTCACTGTACAGGCCATGAACAGATTTGGCAGCACTGCCCCTTTGCTGTCCACAGGTTATCTCTGCAGCCGCCTCTAGCAACCCGTTTACTGCGTGGCGGTCGCCAATCCAGGCGCTATCCAGGCTCAAATCTGCTTAGCTTCTGAGATCTAATGAGACGAGGCGCATTTTGGGGGATTAAATCGTAGGCCTTGCACATTTACTATTACGATGATCTTGACGTTTTGCCTGCGAGCTTGCCGAACTTGTTGAACCGACCACTCGTATACGCCACTTGCGCTGAAACGGTCCAAAAATAATATGTGGTGTTCGACCAGGTGGACGGCATATTCATCGGGGCTCTGAGCAGCACGGATGCCCTTAGTCTTCTTTGCTCCACGGGACGCACAGTATGCCTGTCTCTGGTGAAGAATCGCGCGAGCGAGCGTGACACAAGAGTCGCGCGAACATCCCCGACCTCCGTCGTGCCCGTCGCCACCTCTCCCGCTAAGCGGGGAACGTGCACAGGCGACCAATCCTCCGTGGGTGAGCAGTGTTTCCTGGCTTTAAGAGCACACCGTAAAATACCTGCAACGATGCACATTGACCTCCCCCACCTGCTTTTATTGGGGCAACCCGCGCCGCCACCAGGAGGGTGTGCACGCCGCACGGCTGGGCGACACGGTAGACATAAATGTGAGAGTGCAGCTTTGGGGGTTGCCTGGGTGGCTCAGAGGTGAAGAGAGCGCTGGGCTGCAACCGCGAACAATCCTGGGTTCGAAGCCAGCCACGGCCACCTGTGATTAAACCAAGCTCTGAAGTGTTTTTGAGTTAGCGGTCTCAGCCTAGTCATCATTGACTGCAAAAACACAATCCGTTGCATGTAACTTGGTTCCGCACTCAATTTGGTTGCATTCTAGCTGTACGAGTGAAAAAATATCCGTTTTATTGGGAAAAACATTAGTGTAGGCGGCAGGGCGGGTGGGAAAGGGCTGTCCCCTATTGTGTGGACTAGAGGTCACATATAGCGATCTCAGAGGTAGCGCTATGACATCGCCTTCTCTGGCACGTTCTTTAACGCAGACTGAAACAAGTGCAAAGCTTTCAGTCTGATGAGCCTCTCATCATTTTGTAAATAGTGCTCAGAATTTTTATTTATTTAATGACTGGAAATGTAATTCACGGGTTACCTTTCATTTCCTGCATGAGCCACACTGCTCTCAGCAGTTCTGACTTGGCCAATGCGGTTATGGCGTTGAGTTGTTAGTATTTAGCTGTGAGCATTTTTAAAGGATACTGTATTTGTACAACAAATAACTTCGGTGTGCTGTTTTATTTTAGACAAGTATTTATCATCATCTGCAGGACAAATTACGGAGGACGAAGCGATGGCCTTGCTCCGGAGTTACGATTCAGACGCTCCGCAGAGCCAGCTCGCGCTCAACACCGAGGTAAGGGCGAATTTTTTGTTCCTTAGTATGTACTGTATGTTTAACTTCTTTCACACCATACGTAGCCAACCATACTAAGCGGAGGTTGCGGTGAAAGGTGGAAGGGCAACAAATTAACACAAAAAACGCAGTTCTAAACAAATTAGTTTTCGATCTAGATTTAAAAGCGCGTAGCTCCAGTGATTTCATAATTAGTGATTGGCCGACTTGAAGAAGTCACCTTCATTACTGCCAGATTGAAGTCTTCACCATCTCCCATGGCCCTGTGGTGTAGCAATCTGTCTCGTACCGGCACACAAGCTGATTTCTTTGCACCTCCTCCACAGTGGATATGCCCTCTCGGACATTATCCATCCATACTCGTTGGTTTTTTCGCTAAAGTCACGTAGGTTAAAATAAAGTTAATCAAATCACGACGTTTCGGAGGCAACACAAGCTTCCGTCATCAGGTGTAACTAGCACAGCAACTTACTGTAAAGAGAGCTCTTTTGTAATCAGAGATTATTATTACATAGGGTAAGAGGAGAGGGGGAGGAGCCAGGGAGGACGGATGCAGGGTGGGGGGGGGTTGGGAGACGGGGATGGTAAAACTCCGGATGCTGTTCCTGCACCACGGATGGGGGGGGGGGGGGCGTGGGGCGGGGGAGAGTAAACTTCAAATCTAGAATGATCCATCCATTCCATAATTAGTTGTGACCATTGGTCACCAACCCTCCCGGTGGTGTGTCCTGCCCAAGCCCACTTACTTTTCTTAACTGTCGATATGCTGTTGTCTCAGCTGTATTCTCCAATATGTTTTTCGTTTCTTAATCCATGTGGTCCTTTTAACTGTTGCTGGGTGTAATCCCAAGCATGCGCCTCTCTACACTTCTCTGTCCATTTTTCAGATTTAGCACCGTTTCCTTTGTCAGTGTCCCATCTTTCTAATTAATACAAAAATAGTGGGCACATGTGCACCAGTGGGATCAGGAGTGGGTTGGATTGAGACATTGCAAGACGGTAACAGCTGTATGTATGTTGAACTTCTTTCGCACCGTACGTCGTCAACCGTGCTAATCGCAGTTGGAAGTGGTAGGACAACAAACTAAAAACAAAAGCAGTTCTCAAGAAATGAGTTTTTCAATCTAGATTTAAAAGTGCATAGCTCCAGTGGCTTCCTAATATCAGAAGGAAGAACTTTCCAGACTGCAGCGGAAGCATATCTGAAAGTGCGCGATGCAGTGACCTTCTTTGTTCGACGGCCAGCCAAAAGCCTCTGCTGTTTGGATGACCGGCGTTTGCGTGATGGTTGTTGCTCCTTGCCGAGATCAGCAAGGTATGGTGGTTCATTTGTGGCTCATTTGTGGCTCATTTGTGGCAAGCACTTTGTGATGAAAGATGGTGACAGCCCGGGGAGGTGTTCTTCTGGCATTATTTAGACCATGACTAATGATGATGAATGTTCAGGGAATCATTCTTTCTGTAATGTACAATTGGTGACTTGCCCCCAAGTCTTACCATCTCACCAGCTGGTACTCCTGTAGCTGACCCAAGACGGATGATGGGTTCAGTGGATCCCGGCCATGCTTTGAAATTGTGCCATCGCGAAAACTATTCCTTTATATACTTCCCCTATATTGGACATGTAAAGCCTTTTTTGTGAGTCCACTGCTGGATGAGGCCCTCCCCAAGTCATTTGGATCGTGGGGGGTTACTTTAACATACTTTACCACTCTGGTCGCTGTTGATCAGTGGATGCGGGAAGCGCAGACGTGGGAGAGTATCGAAGCACAAATACGTTGGTCGATTTCTGCTGCCCAGAATGTAGCACAGCGCCACGGACGCTTAATGACAACCTGGCATGCGTAGTGGTCATCCAGCCAAGCGCTAACAAGGCTCAACTCCGCTCAGCTTCAGATCGGGTGCATTCTGGGTGATTTTGTCATAGGCTACTGACCTATAATAATAAAACTACAATAATAATCTTGCAGTGCATTCTGTAAAGTCCATTTTGTGGATCGCTGCTCATATCGTGTTCCACTGTCACTGACAAACCAAGCCTCAAAAGTTGCGTGGGAAAACAATAAAAGCATAATCCACAACAAAGCACAACAACGGATATTCAGTGCAGACTGTTCTTGTTAACAAATCTGTGTATGGCCTGCCCCTGCCAAATGGGTTTTGTATGCAAATCGAGTGTGGGTTAAGGGGCTGAACAGGAGAGCGGGGACGTTCGCAATTCCATCCGTTGAGTTCCAGCTTTAATATCGTCTCAGCGTGGTGTACAATCGCCTGGAGAAAATCAGACCCCCCCCCCCACCCTCTCCCTGTGCCTTTGCCGACACATTGTCTGTAATTACGGCAGGGCAAAATTAAATATGCTTTATTCCACTCGGCACTCGGCGCTTCTCTAGCTTCGGGCAGTCAGAGTTAATAATGACTGAAGCCCAAGACTAATGATTTAGGCCTAATGAGCTAAGCCCACGTGTATAATTACAAAAAGATGGCAAGCGCCGTAATTGAGGAGAGAAAACATCCTTTTTGTTGTGTTTTTCCCTTTCCCCCACCATCTCATCTGCACGGACCGCTTGGGGGGGGCGGAGGGGCAGCCACTTTACACGTTTCAAACGTGACTAACCAGCTCCTTAATCATTTTCTTTCGTTTATTTTTAACTGTTTGTAAGTGCACTCGTGCCCAAAGCCAAGTGCCGTCTTCCTTTTAGCCTGCAGAGTGTGCCGGGGAAATTGTGATTAGTTGAACGTCTCTTCGTTAACCCGTGTCCCGTTCACCGCTGAATTTCTGAACGCGCAAGCGTTTTATTTTATTTGGAGAGGTGTAGCGTCGCTGTTTTTAAACACATTGTACATTATACAGTTTTTTTTTGGGTTGGATCGCGTTAATATATTAATGTGTCGTGAGACCCGCCACCAGCCGTCACAGCCAAATTAGTAAGGTTTGTCACGTAAACAGAACGTAGCCAATTCGTCACTAGTACGACACACCGGTAAGTTGGAGAGCCAAGCCACAAACATTTACAATCTGAGTACGACGTTTCGCCAGTAATTACAACCGGCTTCATCAGGCGACAGCCAGTTTAGTGACAACCGCAACGACACGATCGCGCTCTACGACAGCTGGCTCCAAACTGTGCCACACGCCCTGCCGCATGGCCTTTTACTTCCCATCCCGTTGCGATGATGTACACCTACGGGAAAGGTTTAAGACCTCACAATGGCACAGGAAAGGGGATGGTGGTAGCCAACACCGCAAGGTCACCTTTGTCTCCCCAATGCTCATATTGCTCATATTGACCGAGACTAGTCCACACGCTTTTCCAACACGCCATCGAGAAATTGCAATTATCCCGTTGACATATTCTTCGTCTAAAATCCTATGCTTCCTAAAGAGTTGGATGTATTTTAATGACCGATTGTGCCATTTTTAATGGTCGTGGCTTAACCTTGAAACAGAACTGTGGATCACAATACACTTAATATATTTTGACCCGGAGACACGCAAATAGTTTTAAATAAAACAAAATACAGCGTCCTTCTTTGCCCAGGTTAAGCCAAGTTCCAATGTTGTGTGCAGCATCTTGAGATGTTGCTCCATTTCGACTTTGTGAATCCAAATTGTAGCCATAGCGGTGAACATAGTGCGCTTTGCAATTGGCAACCCTGAGCTCAATGACAGTGCAGGTGGCTGGAAATAATACAAAGGGTGCATTAATGCAGGCGTACATGAAACGGCATTCGCTGGGGTTTGTGTAGTGCATCACAGTGGCAGCTTTCTAAGAAAGGGTCAAATGTTAAATTGCGATGAGCTAGCTCCGTCTAAAGCCATGAATCATGGGCTGCACAGTCTGCAATTTCGTTTGGATATATCTGCTGATCCGTTGAGTTGATCCAGATGACCGCTGTGTACCGCTTCTCCCCGAATTTCATGAATAGCAGCAGGAAAGCCACTGGGCAATTCCACTGCTCGTTTGACCACACTTCAGCTCAAGTCGCTCGTGAAAATTGTCCGCACCTCCGATTAGCACGGTTGGCTACATATGGTGCGAAACAAGTTCAACACACATACGGAAATTAGACTATCTTTGTCGCTTGAGTTCTTTACCCTGAATAAACTTGACTCAATGGTCAGTGCAGGTTGGTGAAGACATGGACCAGTTTGGATATCACTTGTTACCAACGTTAGCCGTGTCCGGATATCGAATGCGAATTACCCAGTGCATAGTACGGTGTGTTAACTGTTGTGCCACCACTCCCCCTATAGTATGTTATTTGTTATCTTAAAGTCCTAATCAACATCTTCCCTTGGCCAAACAAGTAATATGGCTGTGCTAATGTCAACTTTTTGCTTTTTAATTATTTAATTCGAATTGTGCTTTTTGGCATCTTGGCATGAGACATGTCAAATTGCAGCTCTAAAAACGGGCACACCATTTATGAACCTTTCAAAGATTGATGTATGTCAATCAAACCTGCATTCTAAATTGTAGTAGGCGAAATATGCCAAATGAAGTGAAGAACTCACTTTTATTGTAGGTTCTTTGTGTGTACAGTCATTGATGGATAGGCCCTCACTGCTGCACTTGAAAGCTTAGTTCCATCATCATGTGTGACTGTGTAACTTAGATGCAAACCAAGGATCTCAGCCTCTATGGCTCTATACTCTTCACAGGGTATTATTCCCCTGAGCCACTCGTCCATGGAAGGCAGAATAACTATTTGTGTACGTTTTAACATTCCCATGGTGGAGACCAGTCTGTTCTTATGACAACTACTGCTAACTTTCCAAAAAGTGGTATCTATTTTAATGATGCTGGAGGGATGATAGGTTGAGCCACCCCCTGACTGTACCCATTTGTGGGATGATGATACATAGCAATTATCGCCCCCCTACTGGCAGATTAATGCCCCACGTCACTATTGCAAATGATACTATCCTAGTATGTTGATTTAAATATGTAAACTTGAACTTGAAACTTAAAACTCTCATTTTTAGTCGAGCCATC